TTTCAGGAATTGGGGAACACAGCCCTTGGGGCTTGTGCTTTCAATGGCCCCAGGCCCTGCCTTCATCTTTTTCGTCACTCGTTGCCTGCAGCCTCGCTTGCTCAGCAGACACCTTGGAGCCCCGTGCACAGGAAGGAGTAGCGTGTGCCACCGTCTCGTGCCCAGATGGAAATAGAACACGTCCCTTCTGCCATCAGAAACCTCCCTCGTGAGCTTCTACTCAGCTTAAAAAAAAAGTCCCACAAAAGAGGCGCATTACAGCCAATTTCTGAATGCTGAAAAAGCGCAAGGTGCTGGTCCAGCTCAGAGATACCCCTTGAGGGAACATTCAGTACCTGGGGACGTCTTCCTTTGCCTCCTCCTGCCCCCCATGGCACTGCTCTGCTTGGTGCCAGGCAGGTTGCAGAGAGCATCCCCCTCCTCGCCGCCACGGTCTGCACCCTGCCAGGCAGGGTTACGTCTGGGCAGGCGCCCGTGGCTCGCCTCCTCCCTGCCGCCTTCGTTTGCCGCGTGGTGTTTATGAGAGATGCTGCGCTGTCTGCTCCTATTTTATGTGCTGCCAGAGCTCGTCAATGTGCTGTTTGGTACATCAACAAATCGACACTACACAAACAGAGAGCTAACAGGGAATGATTTATCCAGGACACCACGTCTGTGTGTCCAGCAAGGCGAGGTGTCCTGGAAACAAAATTCAGTATTTACTGAAGACTCATCGGAAAAGCTGGTGTTTCGTGTCGCAGCTGAATCGCGCTTGTATCTCGCTCTTTCTGGGTGTTGCTTGTTTAATCATAGGATGCTTTCCTTTTAATTAGTCACTGCTGCCACTGATGAGAGAATTAGCAGACTCTTCTTTCAATGGAGGAGCTGAGGCTGTGGCAGATGTGTTGTAATTGGGGTGGTGGGCAGGAGGCTTTGTGCCGCAAAGAAACCCCAGGATCTGCACCTCAGGCTCTGCTTCCCTGCAAAATGCCCTTTCAAGGAAGGGCCCTGGAGGGGGTTGTTTTCAAAATGTATCTTTTAGTTAAAGGAAGGATGCTACCTCCCCCAGCTGCCGTGTTGTGGCCCTTGGAGGTGAAAACTGCTTGATTTTTACCTGCTCTTTTCCTCCATGCCTGACGAGGACCCGTGGAGCTGGTTGTGTGCCAGGAGTCAGTGACCCTCCCAGGTACACTACGTCTAGAGCTCGTCAATATTGTTTTGATTAGACAGTTACTGTCAGAAAACAGCAGTTTGTCAAACTCGAAGCTGTTCTTGGGAGTGGAGCTGTTTCAGTGAACTGGCTTCAAAAAAGAAAAAATTTATTGAAATACATTGTCTGTGATATTTGAAATGTCCATTTGATCAGTTGGGGAAAAAAAGTTCCATGTTCTTCAAGCTGACTTTTATTTATGTTTTTTCATTTCAGTTGATTTACAGTACAGAGCAAATAGATGAGGGAATAGGGACTGAGGTGGATGGGGGAGCTTCCAAAATTTTGAGCACAAGGTGTTTCAGTTTGCCAGTTCTGAAAGTCTACATTCCTGTTTGGGATGGGATGACAATTTCAATTCCTATGGGAGAAAAAAAGCCACTTTCCTGCTGTATTGTAACGATGTCTAAGGAGAGATGTCCCAGACATGTTTGTGATTTCTCTAGAGCAGAAGCATCTTATAAACAGTCTTATTATCTATATATCTGTGGCTGCATGGAAATCCCGTAGCTGGCATTCTCAGAAGCGTTTGAATCCCACTGCCTGGCTGTGATCCCCTTGGGCAGGATCACGATCTCAGCCCACCTCTGTTTTTATAAATAATTCCTGGCAGTGCTTGTGGCAGGGGTCTGGGGGGGGGGTGCCCCATGGACTGGCTGCGCTGATGTGTCCCTTGAAAGCGGAGCTGTTGCAGCGGGCTCATAAGCTGCCTTTGGGACACCATCCCCCCCATATGGGAGCGAGGGGCTTGGGGGAGAGAGCTCCAAAGCTGGCTGCAAAAATCCTCCGAGTAATTCACATCTCCCCACCTCAACTCTGTAGGGATGTGTTGTTTCCCAAGGCAAAATAACTCCTCGAGTTCAGCCGGGTCTGGTTGCGGTGTGCTTCCAGCAGATGCTCACCTCGCCCTACCCTGGCAGAGCTCCAGGCTGCCCTGGAGACCCTCCTCTTCTGGCCGGGTGGAAGGGAAGCTTTCTCTTCCTCTTTCAACTCATTTTGGCCATTCATCTTGGATTTTTGGATATTGATTCTCACCTCTGGTTCAGGAGATCCCACTCTTCATTTTTATTATGGGCACCCGATGTCTCAGATATTCAAAACTGTTTTCCTGCGAGGGAAGTGGAAAAGAGTGTGCAGAGGAGGAGTGGAGGGCCAGGCAGATTTTAGGGTGAAGCAGGGGGAGATGGATGGATCTGGTGCTGCTGTGGGTGCTGAGCATAGACCCATAGTCCTCCCGCGCCAGTGCCAGGGGTATTTGGGGCTCTTGTGAGCCAGATGGGCTGGGAGGGATCTTTCATGGGCTGGGAGGGGTTACAGCCCTTCCAGTGGGTGCGGAGGGTTCTGGGAGAGTGACAGAGTAACTGCTGCTCCCCCTGTGGCTCCCCACATCATCCAGCTGTGCCCTGCCAGCGCCTCCCATCAGGATTTATGCATCCCAATAACGTCTCTAACCAGAAGGTGCTCGCAGAGTGCAAAGTTTCATTAATCCACACTATTAACACGACGTCCCTGCTGGGGCTGCTTGGGTTTTCTATGTCAGCCCCCGCGGGGAAGGGATGCCGTGGCTGCGGGAGATGCTGGGCACTGCTCGCGCATCGAGGCACTTAACTGGGTTGTGCCTGTGGGGCAGGTTAGATTTGGCAGCGCGGTCACAGAGGGGGAACAGAGGGTGGAAATCTGCCTTCGGGGCCCAGGTTAGTGGTGCTGATGGATGAGAAGGAACGGTTCCAGGAACATGTTTCCTTTCCAGCAGCATCGCTGCGGTAATAACAGCACAGCCAGCCTCGGCGCTGGGGCGCTCATGAATGAGTTGGCATTTTTTTTGTGACTAATGTAGACTTTTAGCTATTTGAAATTGTCCTGTGGTGCAGCTTGACATATAAGTTCTCGGCCTATTTATTACTTTGTGTCTGAGTGTTCCCGTAGGTACATGATTTTAAACCAGGGTTGCATTTAATACCGGGATCTGAAGCATTTGTATTTTAGCTCTAGATCAGTGAGGAGGTGATTTGGGCTCTAAGTCTGGTGTGTTTGGCAAACTCTAGCCAAGGGATCCATTCCTCAGTGAGGATGTTTGAGGTATAGGAAGTGTTCAACATCCCATGGTTGTTTGTTTTTTTTTTAATTACTTTTTCTTTTCAATGCTGCTGTTTCCTCCTTTGCTATCCTTGACCATTGCTGTGTCCTCACAAGCTCCCGCCCTCTCACAAGTCCCCAGGGATTACACTACTGCGCTGAGATAACATGAGACCAACTTGGGTCCCAATCTACCATTGCACTGGATTGGAGGAGCTTGAGCTGCAAGGGCTCGGCCAGCTGTGCCTGGAGACTTCAACCCTGAGAAAGAAAGAGTTGAAGGCCCACATGGATTTATCTGTTTATTTGCCAGCATATATCTATGAAGCCTTTGATCGCTGTAGTTTCCTGGGGCTCTGAAACACAGTTGATCAAGTGTTGACCCTGTCCCTGAGCCATCCCGTCTGCTGGCTCCCATGGAGATGGGTTGGGATTGAGTCACTTCTTGTCAAACCCTACAGCTTGTGCCGCAGCATGTGCTGTATTGTGGCAGCTTCTGGTCTGTTCTAGCAAGTTTTTGATGCGCCACGGAGGTGTTTCGTGTGGGTGATGGGAGCAGACGACGGCACATGTTGCACATTGGCTTCTGCTCGTGGTGTAGCTGCTGTGAACCTGCACATCTGGTCGTAACCCACCGTGGTGTTCAGGCATCTAAAACCGGGGGCGGTTACACGTGGGGATTTAGAAAAGTACCTGAGTGAGTAAAGTGCCAAACGGCTCCTCAGAGGAATCCAGCACCGGTGTGTGTGAGGTGTTTAGTGAACTGTGCCAGCCCACTGCCCTGTGGGGCACCCGGGCCGTCGTGTCAGCACCACTTGCCAACGCGACCCCGCGGCCGTCTGCCAGCAGGACGTCGGCTCCTGATTTTAATGAAGCCTTAAGTAGAAACATGCAGTTGCGGCTGTATGTTGGGGTTAAATGGGGAGAAGGGATCTGGTACTGCAGATTTGGCTCCTGTCTTTGCCACTGACTGATCCTAAACAGACTACACCACCGGTTTTTGTCTTCTGCCATATGTTTTCCAATAATGCCCGCCCACCTGCCGGGGAAAGCGCAGCACTGGGTGTCTGCAGGCATTGTTGGGAACCCTCTGTGAAAGATGCTAGAAAAACATGAAAGGTATTAATTTAGGTCTAAGATTACTGGGAGTCTGTTTGTTAAGGTTTTTTCATACCTCTATTTTTAGGTTGCCAGTCTGAAATGCCAGGATTGGGCCCTTCCTCAGTAGCAGTACTTGGAGCCTCCTGATAATGACGTTTTTTGAGCCATTTCGGTTGTATCACCTCAAATCTCTGCTTTTGAAAAATCTTAGCTTATATCTTTTGGTGAGATACTAAATAAAAATACAGGCCCTAAAAGGATATGTATGTGAGAAAACGGTCCGATTTTCCCTTCTGCATAAGGCAAACTGGTTTGGAGGATGTGAAAGCGTTAAGACTCTGTACACGCCACTGCTACACAAACCTCCTGAGGTGGCACTAAAGCTGCGATTAACGTGAAGTCCATGTCTGGATTTACCTGCTCAATTTACAACGAGCGTATAAATCCTAAATACTCTGATAGTGTTTTTCTTCTCTCTCCTGGGTGTTGAGTGACCTATTGCCATTTTCTTGCTACATCATTAGCGCTGGTATTCCTACGCTTGAGGTATTGGGGCTTGTTGTATTTCCAGGTGTATTTTTGGTTATGGAGCTGTGCTGCTTACCGTCTCCCTTTTCTCCTCTTCTTTCCCCAGCCAGAGGAGCTTACCAACGCCCTGGAGATCAGCAACATAGTCTTCACAAGCCTCTTTGCCCTGGAGATGCTGTTAAAAGTCCTTGTATATGGTCCTTTTGGCTACATTAAGAATCCATACAACATCTTCGATGGGATCATCGTGGTGATTAGGTACAAACCTAGAGCTTTCTTTATGTGTGTTTCCCTTCATTTGGCTGTTTAATTAAACAGAAAGTAATGGAGAGTGGGCATAAATACCTGCCTGTGTCACTTTAAACTTCTCTGCTTAAATTAATGCACTTAGACACGATTACTTATACATATCTTGGGATTATTTTATGGTCATTTTAGAGAGAGGCCCAAGAAGAAAGCTTGGGAAAGTCTGGGATCCAAATGGTACAGCCAATGCCCGGCTAGGTAGCTCCCTGTTTTTTTTGGCACGTGTAAAGGCTGTAATTGCCCCTGCAGCTGCAGCCACTGATTTGCAGGTGTGTTTTTGACACTCTAGTGGGGCTCTGCTCTTTGCAAGCCTGGAGAGGGTCCAGCTCACCAGGGGCATTGGCAGCGCGTCTCTGCCCACTTTCCATCCCTCTACTCTCTGAATTTCACCCTCCCTTTGCTTCCTCTTCTCTCTGCCTTTGCGTTAGGCTTTGTCTTCTCATCCTGCAATGACCTTTTTTTGTCCCTCAGCGTGTGGGAGATAGTGGGCCAGCAAGGAGGGGGGCTCTCGGTCCTGCGGACCTTTCGGCTCATGCGAGTTTTGAAGCTGGTCCGCTTCATGCCAGCCCTCCAGCGCCAGCTCGTAGTCCTCATGAAGACCATGGACAACGTGGCCACGTTCTGCATGTTGCTGATGCTCTTCATCTTCATCTTTAGGTGAGCGCTTCCGATTCCCCGTCCTGAGGTTGCTCTGGGTTTTTAGGTGGGATCCCATGGCGAGGTGAGGAGATGGAAGAGTCCGTACTAGGACACGGCTGAGCTGAATGGTCCCAGGAACAGCATTGCTGGGCAGCGCTGGCAGTGGCTTGCTGTGCTGGCTAAATTCTCCTAACTCTGGCCGAACAAGACATCTGTCTTTGCAAGATGATTTACATGGAAAATCTTTCAGCTGGATGATTCCTTGCCATCACCCCAAGACAGCGGTCCCATTACTTACCGACTAGCAGAAAGCCTGGTGCTAAAAATATTGCCAAGGAGAGGGCGATGTTCCTAAAATAAAGTCAGCCGTGGTGGTGCTTGTGCTCCTGCATGGCCTCTTCTTCTGAGAAGTGGAAACGTTAGAAATAGGCTTGGTGCAGCCTTGAATTTCTGGATTTTGGTCTAGATTTTGTAAAGGGCTTGTCTCCTTGGAACAGCCAGCAATCCAGGCACTGGGAAGGCTGAAGAAAGCCAGTCTCTTCCATGGAATAATGTCCCTTCTCCCAGTGAGACATTTCACTTCAAAACCACCGCTTGCAGCCACCGTGCTCAGTAGAGCTGTGAATAATGTGATTATTCAGGTTACTGGCCGAGAGCAGGGGAAAACAAATTATTCTTTTAGTATCAATCTAAAATGAAAGGTATTCTGTTTTCTTGTCAAAACTGAAAAAGCTGTTTTGGGTCCCCTGATAGGTCTCATTCAGGCATTTCACAGAAACCCTTTTTGTCTTCCTAATTCAATTTAAGCATATTTTGCTGAAAATGTGTCATTGCAAAACAGAAAGTCAAAACATTTTGTTTAGAAAATGTTGAAACACAATGTTTTGACTTAAAAAAAAACAAAGCAGAAGAAAAATAAGGAGCGGGCATACTTTTTGGTTGAAACTTTTTGACAGATTTGACCCAAATTCACAACTGGTTTGCATGATCTTGAGGCATGTTTTTAGTGAACGAATAATTTATCTTTTTTAAAAAAAAAAAAAAAAGGAAGAATTGCCCAGGTGAAATCAGGACACAGCCCTGCTGTATGATGACTGGTTTGTGCTGTGGTCCTCTTGTTGAGCCCCTGCTTTCCCTCCTGTGCAGCATCCTGGGGATGCACCTCTTTGGCTGTAAGTTTGCTTCAGAGCGAGATGGTGACACGCTGCCCGACAGGAAGAACTTCGACTCCTTGCTCTGGGCCATCGTCACTGTTTTCCAGGTACAAAATGAAAAATGCCAGAACTCACGTGCGTTTTGGGGCTGCGAGGGCTGGGGTTGTTTTCCAAAGCATCTGACAGAGCTTAGTGAAGCTCCTTGCCATGGAAGGGAAAGGACCCAAACCCACAAGTGCAGGAGCACAGGGGTTTTCAGATGGTTTTCCAGAATAAATCACAAAGCTGACGAGGAGGGGCTGCCGAGGCAGGAGGCTTTTGGTTTGCAGGTTATGGGCTGGGTGGGTGAAAGTAAGTGCAGAGGGTGGAGATGGAGAGGATATCAGGACCATTTGCAGTGATATTTTGACAAAGAACAGAATCTGGTTTAAGACCGTAATTGATATGTGCAGTTTTTTGCTGTAGCAACTCTGAGCTCTGTAACTGTGGGATCTGTGAAGGACTTTTAGCTGTTCTGGCTGACCAAAGGAAAGGTCTGACCTGTGTGACACTGCATTCCCTTGTGACTGAACACGTCCCTTGATGTGGGTGGGAGTCGGACAGTTTGGGCAGGGTCCTTATCGATAGCATGGGAGTCATGGTTGCTTTGGTCCTGTCTCTTCTCTGGCTCAGAAGATGTCTTGGTCCAGATTTATCCTCCCGTGGCTATAGCTACGGTGGATACCTCAAAATTGGGGTGCTTGACTGGCCCATCCAGAGCACAGATACCTGGCCAGGCTTGGGGAGAACAGCACGCTATCCTCTGGTATCTTCATTTTCCTGATCCCCCTCCTCTGCAGATTTTGACCCAGGAAGATTGGAACAAGGTCCTTTACAACGGCATGGCGTCGACCTCCTCCTGGGCTGCTCTCTACTTCATCGCTCTCATGACGTTTGGGAATTATGTTCTCTTTAACCTGCTGGTGGCCATCCTGGTAGAGGGTTTTCAGACAGAGGTAATGTCCTCACATTCGTGCTTTGCTTTCTTCTTAAGTTTCAGGGCCTCCAGATCCTGGAATTTGATTTCTGAGATGGACAGCAATATGTTTACAAGAGTGGTGCATGAAAAAAGTGGGGGAAGATATTAGGTCTTCTTTCTATGGTTTTTTCCCCTCTTTTTCTTAGCCACGGTGCAATTAAATACAGCAAGCCCTCTAAACGAAGGGCTTAAATGAAAAGCATTGTTAGCATTAATGCAGGAGTGGGAATTCAGCAGTGAGTCAGGCACTGCGGATGGGATCGCTGCTATGACAGTGTCTTTGAAACAGTTCTCACCGTGTTTGGCAGCCAGATTAAAAGCCCCTCCTGAAAACTTACGCAGGCTGGTAAGAGATTAGTGGCACAATTATCTTTTTTGATGGTATGCGTTCGTGGAGCTTTTCCTGTTTCCAGCCCTGCAATGCTCTGCACATTTTAAAGTACATGATTTCTGGTCTCTGCCATCTGCTTCCTCGGGCTGGGAACTTCCATGAGACATCCTGGGTTGCTGGAGGCTTTCATGGAAGGGCAAAGGGGCACTTAGGTTTGAACTCAACCTTTTTTTTTTCATCCTACTACCTTCCCAACTGTCCAACTCGGAGTGAGTGAGCATGTCACCTAGTCCCCAGAGTGGGGGACCCGCGATGCCCACCCGCTCTCTGCAAGAGTTGTCCGCCTGTCCAAGAACAGCAGTAAGGGGAGGGGACCTTTACACCCTGCCTAGGGGGCTGGAGAGGTAAATATAACCTAAAACTGCTCGCTGGGATCTGCTTGTATAGGCTGTGCTTTTACAAGCTATCTCAGATTTTTATAAGCATTCTGGGATGACTAAATATTATTTAAGGTTTGTTGCTGGTGTACCATAATCTCCTACCGCCCCATGAACAGCTATACACAGAACTGTTTTTCTTTTTATTAATTTTGGAGCACAGTTTAGAGTTAAATTGATGGAGTCACACCAGGAGATAGCAAGAAGCAATATTTTTATTTTTCGTATCGTCTCTCTCCATGTTGGTGCTTTTCTTTTTTACCTGTTATTGTTGTAGCTGTTGCTGTCTGTAAATCCCCCCTCACCTGAAGGGGAATGCCAGGCTCTCCCAAATAGCACAATGTTCCCTCGCCCGAGTGAGAAGAGGTAAAAAGCTCCTTGTCTGCTTGTGGTGACGGCTTCGAAACCGAACCCGATCAGTCTCACAAATGGATTCGCTGAGGGTCGCTGAAGTGGGAGATCCCCTGCTGCAGCCGCTCCTTAGAGAAAAGGACGCAGCCTTTAAATGCAGCACCCCCTTTTCCAACCCCTGGTCCTCGAGGGAGGCTGACACCTCTGATCCTTGGCTCAGCCTGGTTTATTTTATGCTAGAGCATCCATGTGCTCGCCTGCTGCCATGCTCCCGCTCCCGCACGCCCGGCCGCTGCGCTCCCCGGGCAGCAATTAATCCCACACTCGCTTTGCGGCCAGCTGGTACCGTGGTGTAACTCCCTCTAAATTCATGCCCTGGCTTAATGTGCTGCGTTGTTTATTGCAATAACCATGTCCTTCAGGCTACATCTTCCCTGGAGTCAGGGGAATGGCCTGCAGCGCCCCCCAAATTTGCTTTCGGCCGGTTTTTTGCAGCAGGGCTGCCCCATCGCCCGCCCCTGCTTCTCCTCTGCCAGGGCAGTGCCGGGCTGGTCCAAGCCAGCTCCAGGATTTCTGTGTAAGCTGCAGCAGTGCTTTAAGTGCAGTGTAAATCAGGGACTAACTTCTGGTTCGGGAGAGCCCTGAGGCAGCCTGAAGCCAGTGATGCTCGCGCCGATATCGAGAGGTGAGTGCAGGGACCAGGATCCAGCGCAGCCTCCAAGGATCAAACCCTCTCTGGCCAATTCTGCCCAACCACGGCGATTTCAATGAACTGGCACCAGATTTCTAGAATTTGTGACTCTGATGACAGTGCTATTTTACATCTCGGGCTTTGATGATGGCATTTTAATAATAATCTTCCTTCCACGTCATTGTTATTCTGAGTTCTCCGCATTCTTCCAGTAAATTGCAATGGGATCAAGAGATCCCTCAGCTCAACACAAGTTTCCCACAGCGGACTGGGAGCAAATGTCTGCTGGAGGTCGGGAGCCAGGTCTGGCCTTGCTGGTTTATGTTTATTCAGCTTTGCTGGTGTGTAGCTTTGCAAACAGATCTTGTTCTGGTTTTTGCTAGCCAGCAGACAAAGGATCCTCTCCTAAGCAGAATTAATAGAGAGCTCATCTCTCGCTGTAAACAAACACCAGCTTCTCCCTCCTGTGATTGCACTTGACCCTTCTTCTGAGTTGGGTTTGGTTGGGTTTTTTTTTCCATTCTCCTTCAGATTTCTGGGATGAAATACAATCCCGGCGCTGCTGCTTTTATCTCCCTGGTCCTTGAGTGCCTTTCCTCAATCTGCAAGCACCTCGTTAATTTTAGTGCATGGCTTTGCAGCCCCAGTTGCTAGGCAGCAGATGTATATAAGCAGTTGGGAAACAAAAAGGACCTGTTCCAAACTTTAAATACGGAGCGATATATTTTACAGGGTTGAGTGTCTTTTTTTTATTATTCTTTCTTTCTTTTTTTTTTGCTAACCTGCTTCTCTCTTGCAAGAGGTGCATGCAGGACTTTATGCAACGTGGTTATTTTTGACAGCGCGTTCTCCAATTTAACTCGAGCCTGGTGTCGGTGCAGGGAAAGTGAGCAGGGGACTCCATTTGATTGAGCTGCTAATTTGAAATTGCTGCCTGACCTCTTGGGTCCCTGCCCTGGGGACTTCGCTCTGAAACAAGCAGTGACTCCTCTTTGTCAGGCATAAAGCTCCTCTCCTGAGTGACTTCCTAATAATATTATCTCCAAAGCATATTCTTCCATTGGTAATCCTCCTGGTTTTGTGTCCCCCCGCCAGCAATCCTCACTCATGGATTTATTCCTTCCCCTCCTTTGTGGCCCCCTCCCTCCCTGGCACCCCAGGTCCTCCAGCCCCTCCATCCTTTCCTCTGCAGGACATTGCCTGCTCTCTGGATGTAGCATCCTTGGTGAAATGTGGACTTTGCCACCTTCTGGGCTTCAACCAGAGGGAACAGTCTCTTCTCCTGCAGTAGGGATTTTGGATGGTGTTTTTCTTGCATCCCTTACCTTTTGCATTCCTACTGGTTTCAGCGGGATTTTCCTTGTGAAGGAAAAGTATTTCCGTGATTTCTCTTTCGATAGCTTTTCCATGTCTCTCTCTGTTACAACCAAAGACTTTAAATTAAGTGTCCACTACATTGCTAGCCAGACACCGTTGTCCAGACATCCAGATCCCAGAGCTGATCGGTCTTTCTTAAACTCTTAATCCCAGCCTAGAGCGGGTTGAGTTTTGCACCATGTAGCAACCAGAGGAAAATCTATTGCCCTGTAGGCAAGAAATTAAGCCGGTGGGACAACTTGTGTCCTCCTGCAGCGTGTAACCCCCCACAGCCCCACGGGATGGGACCCGACACGGCCGTGCTGCTGAAACATGCCGAGGAGCATTGGGAGAGCCACCCCTGAGGAAGGGGGAACACGGCGAGGTGAAGAATGACGTGGGCTTTCCAAGTGGGTAGTGCTGTGAAGAGTGCTGGGGCCACTCGTGTGGCAAAGCCCCCCAGGATGGGGCTGTGCCCACCCCTGCCTGCAGACCACTGCCGTGTTCGGGCACGCCGCTGATTTAAACGGGCGACTCCGCTGTTGGGGGTGAGGAGGGATCTGAACTCACAGCAGATCCTGATGGCTTTCCTTAAATTAGGTATTCCACCTGGCTGTAGGAGGACTGATATTGTGTTAATCAAACATTCATTACAAGCCTCCACTGCTGCTTAATGAAGGCGTAATAAATAAAGATCCTATTATGCATCTGCAAAAAAAAAATAAAATCATGTTTTCAATAATTACCTGGTGTTTCATTAGCACAATTATCACTTAGAGGCTGAAGCAAGCTCTGTTCAAAACGCTTAATTTAAAGGTAAGGCTGGTCCCTTCGAAGGGCTTTGCTCCATCTGAGATCTTCTGCTCCTTCCCTGTGCCAAGTGGAGCGGGTGCCCCAGCCCGGCTCTCCATCGCGGCCACACGCTGCCCTTCTCCCCCCTCCCCTCTCCTTCCCTGCCTTTTCTCGTGTGTTTTTTGATTCCCCATTCAGTCCTGCTGTTGAAACTGTGAAAATTGAACCCCTCCTTCCCCTTCCTCCCCCTTCCCCTCCCCCCCGTCTCTCCTTCAGGAGATCTCCAAGCGAGAAGACGCGAGTGGGCAGTTAAGCTGTATTCAGCTGCCTGTCGACTCGTCGGGGGTACGTACACAGCACATCCCACCGCCCGCTGTGGTTGTCTCTCTCGTGGTGCCTGGTCACACGCCGTGGTGCTGTTCTCATTGTAGTAGCTGTCATTCTTTTGGGGTTTGTTTGGGTGTTTTAGGGGTGTTTTTGTTTTTTCTTTCCTTTTTGTTGTCCTCATTGTCGAGTCAGCCTTGATTTTAAGTCCCTTCTTTCTCTGGGGGAGCCAGGTAAAATTAAGTTGGGTGCTTTGGGGCGGCTGATGTGGCTCCAGCCCTGGCTCTCGCCAACACTTTTCTGGATGCCTGCTCCAGGGCAGGCTCCCCGCAGGGCTGTCACAGCCCCTCCGCAGCGTGGTCACATCCCGGGGACCTCCCTAGGTGATGCTGACTGCTGCGTGTGCCCACCAAGCGCTCCCTCCATCATGTCTGCGGAGGAGGGTGCCCGGGAGTGAAGGGACCTGGAATCAAGCCTGTTTGTGGACTCGTGTGGGGGAAGCCCCATGCTCGGCAGGACGGGGTGGGACAGCAGCAGCTGCGCTGTGGTGTGTCCCAGAAAGGCTGGACAGGATGCTGGGATCTCCGGCGAGATGTCGCATTGCGATGTGGGTCAGGATGTGAAATGGTCCCGTTCAGGTCTGAGGAAGCCGTGGATCTCTGAAGTGCAGCACACCTCAAAACTTTCTCTTCTGCAACCTCCTCTTTCTCTTTACCACTCCTTTCCTTTTCTGTCCTTTCCAAGAAGTCTGGCTTTTCCCTTAACACAGAACCCCTTTCCCATTGTATCCCAGTGTGTCAGTCCCCTTCGGTACAGGCTGCTTTAGCCGTTGTACCGTCTGGTCCATCTTGATGTACCCTCGTTTCCCAAAAGAATTTTAACTCCCTGTTCTCTCATAACCCCTTTTCTATCCAGAAAGGCAAACTGGGAGTGCAAGAACAGGTAACGGGCGGCAGCCCCGGCTGCTAGATGCTTGCCTGCACCGTACCGAGTTTGGCACGTGGTGTTTCAGAGGGGATGCTTTCTGCCCTCCAGACGTGGGGTTTGGTGCTGGGGAGGCGGGTGGGAAGGCCCCACATAGCTCTGCTCTTCCATTTCAGCACACATCTCACTGTGCACCCTAAAACTTTCCTTTGGGCTGCTAAAGAGCACTCCAGGAACACCAATCACATAAAATTCTTCCTGTTATTTATCTCTTTTTAATAACGTATTAGGGAGAAGTGAGTAATTCCTGGCAGGTCCCCTGAGCGGCTGAGCCGGGAGCCTCCGCAGGGAGTGTACCTGGAGCCAGCTGGAGCCTCTGTTCATACCGGAGACATGATTTTGACTCCGGTGAAGTTCAGGCCAGCCTGACTTTACTGCTCCCCCAAGCAAGGTGCATTCCTGACCTTCCCAGTCTGCATCTTGCAGGATGAGCTTCCCTGAACAGCACAGAAGTCCTGGATCCTTAGGAGGGGACGTTTTGAGCCAACATTTCACATCACACTCTCTTTTGCCTTAAAAGCATGTGTCTGAGAGTGTCCAGTCTTCCTGGAAAAAATCCCCTTAACTGTTTAGTGACCTCATTTGGGGAGCTCATGCCCCTGGGGCTTTGCCAAACAAACAAGGAGGCACAGGGCTGGACCTTGTGTTGGATGCCATCTCCTCCTCCAGTCCCACACTGGGGCCCCTCTGGGTTTTTTACAACCGGCAGGTACCCGAGCACCAAACCTCCGCAGCACTGGCCAGGGCTCCCAGGGGCGCAGCTTAGCCTTGGTGGGGTTTTCTGGGGCTCCTGGTCTCTCCCAGCTGAAGTGAGGGTCTGCTTGGCTTCTCTCATCCCAGCATCCTCCCCCCCTTCCCACCTCTCCTTCCTCCTGATGTACATCACGACGGGGCTTGGTGCCCTTTGCCAGAGCAGTGGTTTCAGCTGTGAATCCTCCTCTTTTGGATGGGTATCGTTCTGGCAAGCACCATTGCCCATCGGGTGTATCCTGACTATACCACACCCTAAGCGCCTTTCTGCAGTGCCAATGGACAGAATCAGTGGGACACACAGGGACGTCCCTAATCGGGTCCGTGCTGCAAGACCAAGTGAGAGCCCGGACACCACGCTGCGAGCAATGGTAAACCTCTTCTCTCCTCCTGAGGACAGGCCCATGTCAGAGCGGGCAGCTCTTGCTCAACCCCCAGCGTTCGAAATGATACAGCGGAATTTAAATCCCCAAAACGATACAGCGTAAATCACTGAAACTTCTGCTTCTGTTGTGTGCCACAGCTGGGAGGGGAGCGGCCACCCACGGCAGTCATTACCAGGTTCTGCCACTCGGATCCTCTCTGCACTGGTGGGGCATCCATCGATATGTGCTCGTTATCTCCGTTGGAAAGTCGGGGTCCCTTGTGCCCCTTTTGAACCCTGGATTGCTTCATCGAAGCATCGCTAGAAAGAGCTGCACAGGGAGTTTTAAGCCGTAGTGTATAAATTAAGAGAGATGAGTAGGGTCAATTTTTGTCCCCAAATTGCTCATCAGATATCTGTCCTTCCCTAATATCTGCCCAGTGTGCCATTCCAGCAGCAAAAATTAAGCAGTAGGGTTTTTTTCAGATCCCTTTCTGGGACCACGTTTGGAGCCAAAGGTAGTCTGTCTTCCTGGTAGGAGGTTAATTAGTCTGTGGTATAAATATGTGCATGTGTCATTTTGTGAAAGGTGATGTTGCATCGTGGTACGAAATTCAGTGGATCTGTAGGTGTGGTGTTGGAGATGGGAATCCATTTTTTCGGAGGGCTGTCCATGCACTGCAGCCCTTTGCCCTCCTTGTTGAAGCCTCTGTTTTGCTCCAGGGTGATGCTTCCAAGTCTGATTCCGAGGGGGATCTCTTTCCCCGCAGCCTGGAAGAGGAGGGAGGACTTAAGAAGAACTTCTCAAATCCAGCCTGTGAGTAACAACCTTGAGAGGATGGGTACTTCTGCAGAAACCTCACTTTGCTGTGAAAACAATGTGTGCCAAAGGGAAGAAACAGCCCTCCTAGAGAGAGCAGCACAGTCCAAGCTGTGTCAGGCTTGACCAAGGCCAGCAGGCATGTGGTATGGGTGGGATCATGGAATGCAGAGACAGACATGATAGGATAGGGGCAATGGTTTTAAACTAGAAACAGGTAGATTTAGATTGGATATTAGGAAGAAGTTCTTTACCGTAAGGGTGGTAAAGCACTGGAACAGTTTGCCCAGAGAGGTAGTGGAGGCCCCATCCCTGGAGACATTCACGATCAGGCTTGATGGGGCTCTGGGCAGCCTGATTTAGCTAAAGATGTCCCTGCTCACTGCGTGGGACTAGATGGCCTTTGGGGGTCCCTTCCAGCCCAATGCATTCTGTGATTCTCTGATGGCATTTGGGCCATCATCTCCCCACAAAGCCCAAGGTCTGGGTTTTCGGGGTCTCTCTGCAGGGACAGAGGCAGAGGAGCCACAAGGAAGGAGGATGGAGGGAGCCCAGGACGGGCAAGGAGGTTCCCAGAGTTGGGGTTGGTGGGTGTTGGTTGGAGGAGTGAGGGGCAGCAGATGATGGTCTGCATCTGCTCTCCTCTCTTGCTGGCACCTGATCCCACTGGCAGCTGATCCCATTCCTGATTTATGTCCCCCTACTCCCCTGCTAGGCAGAAGGATGGGCTCTCAGCTCTCCAGAAGGGCTCTTTTTGCCCCATCCTCATGATGCCTGGAGGAGAGCCATCCCTGTGCAGCTGCTTTGCCTCCCCGAGAGCAGGCTGTAGCTGTGCCCTTTGAGGTGTGACACCTAAACCCCACCGTGTCTTCCAGTGATGGCCCTGAGCGACCACCCGGAGCTGAAGAAGAGCCTGACCCCGCCGCTCATCATACACACTGCTGCCACGCCGATGCCCATGCCCAAAAGCGCCATGTTCGGAGACGCAGCGCAGGGCTATGAGTCCCGCCGGGCTAGTGGCGTCTCTGTGGACCCCGCCGCCTACGAGCTCAAGTCCCCGGTACTCGCATCACCTCCTCCTGTGGATGCTCAGCATGTGTCCGTTGGGCTTGCGGGGCTGTCTGTCCATCCATCCGCCCCAGCTGGTGCAG